CATGGAATAGTAGGGTACTCTTCTTGGGGGTACATTTAATTTCATGTCAGGTTATCTAAATGAAGGACCACTGTCACTGACTTGAGAAGATTTCTCAGCCAGTAACATGCTTGCTGGACAAATATGAAGACCTGAGTTTGTGTTCCTAGCACCCACATAAAAAGATGAACACATGTCTGCCTCTCCCTGCTGGGGAGGCAGAAAGCAGAGAAGGGGTGTCCCTGGGGCTTATGGGCCAACCAGTCACCTAATCAGTGAGCTCCAGATCCTGTGAATGACCCTGTCTTAAAAATACAGTGGAAGGCTGGTTAGAAGGCTCGGTGAGTGGGAGTGTGGCTGTGCAAACATGTGCACCGGAGTTAGGACTCTCAGCAGCCACATAAAAAGCTGGGCATGGCTGGGGGTGCCTGTCACCTCTGGACCATGGAGGGCAGAAACAGAAGGGTGACGGGGGCTTGCTAGCCATCAGACTAGCTCCAGGTCAGCGGGAGACCTGTCTTAACAGAATAAGGTGGAGAGTGATAGAGTAGGACATCCAAAGTCCTCCTCTGGCCCACATGTACCCTTGTATGGATGTGTACACTCCTACCACATGTGTACATACTCCCCGTCCCCCTCTCTCACACACACACACTGAAATAATACAATTAAATTAAGAAAAATAGTTGGGCCTTTGAGATGGCTCAGTGGGTAAAGGAACTTGCCACCTAGGCCAACAACCTGAGTTTGATACTTGGAGACCATGTGGTAGGAGAGATCTGACAATACTTCAGAGTACCCTACAAGTAGTCCTCTGATTTACTCATACACACACACACACACACACACACACACACACACGAAGAACCAGTGTCAATCTTTGTGCTTAAGCAAATCCCTAAAACTTGTTTAAAATACACAGTCCTGGGCCCAGGATATTTTGATTCAGTGAGTCTGGAATGAGGCCTTGAGTCCCACACCTTCATCAGTCTCCCTCATGGTTTAGTATGCTTGCAGTCTATGTGCCCACTGGCCTTGAGTATTTCCTCTTACATTTATACATGTTATGTCTCAGAGCTAAAGTACACATAATTTGAATATCTTGTCCAAAATGTATATCTTTACCTTGGTCAGAGGATTAGCAATCTTCAAAAAGAAATAAACTCAGCATTTCTTTATTTCCTCATATTCAGACATGGGAGTCTAGTAGTAATGCAGTCACCCACAAAGGCGCTAGGAGCACTAAGGTCTCTCTCCCAAGGAATGCCATTCCTAGCATGTTTGGAAGTGAGTGTGTGCGAGCAAGCAATCTACCAGCCACCAAGAAGAGTCCTTAGATACTCTGTGGGTGAAGTCCCCCAGTGTGACCATTGTCAGAGAGGACAAAGCCTTTGAAGACGCCCTTCAGCCATCCACCTTTCCAATAAATGCTCATGCTGTTGAGGTTATGCATACAGGTAGGACAAAAATAAGGAAGAAACAATTCTCTTTCTCAAGGCTTCTACAGCATTGGGTCCTAACTTCAGGGGCTGATGTCTGTACTATGCTTGTTTCTGCCTCCTTTAGTACACACATTGTGCTGGAGTATACACCGCTTTCAGCACATTGACTCAATTAATGCACATGCAAACGACCCAACAACCCTGTTCCACACAGCCTGGAAACAAGAAAGCAATCCGCAGTGTTACCAGTGGCTCGGCTCCAACAGTGCCTGCAGAAGTTTAGTTTAGGTTTAGAACACGTAGTTGCCTTTCAAACATTTTCTTTATGTTGCTCTTAGAACTTGATGCTAGACTTGGTTCATAGTTTATTGAAAAAAAAAGATGGCATTTACTCTTGTATTTGGGAAAGAAAGATCCCTCTTTTTGTAGAGATATTAACACTAGTATTAGAAGTCTTTTATCCATTTACATGTATGAAATTGTCAAACTTAATAAAGAGTATTCTGTTGGGTATCTAGATATTAATATAAAATCAGACATGTTTTTGTTTATAATTATTTATGACACCGATCTAAATTCAAATATTTCATAACATTTTTGCAAAATGGACTGCTTTCCATTAAAATTCATGTAATGCTTCTCTTTATCCAATTTAAGTCAGTCATCAAAGGATGCTCATGCTAGCTACATTTTTTTTCTGGAGCTAAACATAGTGAATCATATAGTTGGAGGGTGTTATCAGTCCCCTTTCATTTTAAACAAGAGAAAATGCACCATGGAGTCACTGCCTCTCATTTTTTAAGGTCATTGATTGGGTTCAAAAGACAAATGCCTTTTTTCGTTGAACTTCCTTCAATTAAGCCATTAACCTTTTGCAATAAGTGTATTCAAAAATCTATCAAAGAAAGCTAAATGAGATTTTAACAAAATCCTGACAATTTCAGCTTAAACATATACACAGAAACCATATGTGCTTAGGAAGAAATATATACACACAGGCATTGTTTACAGAGTGTGTTTTTCTATTTGGAAGACAGTGAAGGAAGAGTTATTCCATACATAATCTGAAACGTGCATTCAGAGAGTCACAGAGACTCCTCAGTAAGAGACAAAGATATCTCTATCTACAGTGTGGAGACAGACAGACTGACTGACTTCAAACTTAGACTTGCAATGTGAATTTTCCCCCCCTCTTCTCTGGGTACTGCTTCTCAAAATTGCCTCAGGCTACAGAACAGCACCTCACATCCCCAAGGCCCACTGCCTGGCTCCTAATAGCCACTCTCCATCTGTGTCACATGAGCAGCTGATGAGATCGCTCCAGTGTCTGTATTTTGGAGAGCACTTCCACCCAGGTGAAATGCTGGGGTTGCCAAGGAGCAGTCAGAAGCCATTAGTGTGGGTGAGAATTTGCCTTGCAGCAGTTCCTTGGCACGGTGGAAAGTGTGTGCACACGTCCCCATGCAGGCTTGGGTGTGTGTGTGTGTGTGTGTGTGTGTGTGTGTGTGTGTGTGTGTATGTGAGTGTACATGCAACCCCCAGATATATGTACGTGTGTGTGTGTGTGTGTGCAGGGAAGGTCATCAGATAAAAGACTAGATTCTATATATTGAGTATTCAAAAGCCAAAGGATTTTTCTTTCCCTGCCCACATACACCTTTTCTGGCTATTGGGTTCACTCTGTCTCTCTGTCTCTCCTCTGTCTCTCTCTGTGTGTCCCCACCCCCGTCTCTCTGTCTCTGTTTCTGATTGTGTGTGTGGGGGGGTGTGTGCGCACGCGCATGTGTGTGTGTGTGAGTGTATGTGTGCGCACGCGTTCACGCATGTGTACGTGTCTTTCTCTGTCTTTTTTTTTTTATCATAACAGAAGGCAAAGAAAAAGAGAACAGCAACTTCGGGGTCATGCTCTAGTGTTTGGGCAGATGGAAGGGAGCTGCCTTGCCTTGGGGCAGGGTGGCTGTAACGAAGTGGCCTGTCAGTCTGTAAATAGTGAGGGTCATCCCTTCCATGTGATGGAGGGGATCGCATTGCAGTGAAAATGGAAATGTCAATAAAATTAATCTGCCAGCTCTTTGCTGTGGTTTTTCTGCTTCTCTGGTCAAAGAAGGTTGAGGTTTTTTTTCGGCGAGAGAGCTAAAGGAACAGGTACCAGAAAGGCCACGGGGCAGACCCAGAAGTTCTAAGGCCAGCGCCCCAGTGGGCAGGAAGTCTGGGTGAAACACCATTTGGGAGGAGGGAAGGGGGCTGGGGATTTGCTGGTGGATCTGCTGCATTCCTCGGGCAGCAACAGAGTGGCCAGCTCAGGCTACATTGAGCACAGAGTTTATTGTTTTAGGCTTTCTTGGACAAGGTTTTTACTTAGCGTGGGATTTATGGCATTTACTGCTAATGAATGTCTATTCTTAAATTACAAAAAAACCCATCTCAGCGCAATTCCCAGATGTCCTTCCAGGACCCCAGCTTCTTAAACACCAGCAGGGAGCATAAACTCTCCACTTCTCTGTTTTCCTCTTTCGTGTGGCTCCAGGCTAATGATGTGCAAGGAAAACACAGCCATCTATAAAGCCCCACTGCTGTCCCCATATTCTTCATTTATTTTGCATTTGATTATGCCACAAGTCGGATCTTGTTTCTTTCCTTTTTTTAAAGTTATTAGTTCAAATATTAATGTAGGGATATGGCATATATTGCTACTCTTGATTGATGCCTTCCCAAAAACAGGAAGACGTGCTCGTATGAATTTTAAGAAAGTAGGGGTCCTGCAATGCCTTGCCAGAAGAGTTTTTCAGATACATAATTTAGATGCCCTCCAGGCAGGCTTTCAAGGCATTTTTGCCGGAGGGCAAGAAAAAATAACTCTGACTGTTAAAAGTAAATGATTTTTGCTAATGCACAATTAATGCCAGAGAAAAGCACAGAAGAGAAAGATGTTGATAGGAAGTTCTGATTAAGTGAGCACCCTACCTTGATGTGTGTCTTTTTGTCTGCCCCCTCACGATAATGATCAGCGGTGCAGAGAGCTAAAAAGTTTTCATGTCATGCAAATGTGGAGCTCCTGGGTCACAGGAGGAGTGTGCGAATGTGCGAGTTTAGGAGGTGACAGTTCTGGGAGGGGCTGAACAGGCAGTGCGTTATGTGCAGTCAACAGTGACACAAGCCACTGTCACCTATGCAGGCAGCCTAGAATATATAGACTACAGAACATTTAACTTGATTACCCAGCAGTCTGTGCTCACTCTGGGCACGGGGATGCATCTCTACCAAATGGGCTTTCTCGTAGCGGTTTGCCCACACTGGGTTCCATAATTGACAAAGAGCTACTGCGCTGTGTCAAGTACACAATTATAATTGAATTAATGATATGGGCGAGGAGTGAGACACACAGAATTAACATTTGAAGAGGCCTGGCTTAATTTTGTCTTTTACATATTTGTGTCTCCAATTATACTTTAATGAAAGGGAATATACCCCCTTAATGGATTTCTTTCAGTGAGCTTAGCTGAGCTCGTCATTAGCCTGGCATTGTTGTTGGTACCCTCGCTACGCTTATTCTAATGGGTCTTCATTTCTTCCTTTTAGGTGATGGCTTAGACAACAGTGTCGCCTCACCTGGCACAGGTGACGATGACGATCCAGACAAGGACAAAAAACGCCAGAAGAAAAGAGGCATATTCCCCAAAGTCGCGACAAACATCATGAGAGCGTGGCTCTTCCAGCATCTCACAGTAAGTTCAGATAAAAGACATTTAAAAATAACAAAAAGCTCATTTCTCATTTTGCTAAGTTTGAGCAAGTCACATGGTCTCTCACACAGGGTTGGTCTTCTTTTGGGTTTGAGTTCTATCCTTCCGTTTCATTTTTTAAAACAAGGTTGCCTGCCTTCTGTTCCTTGGAATGTGGTGACTCATATAACCGGCACAATTTTGTCAACCATTGCCGTCCAAGCAACATCCTCTAGAAAGGGGAGCAGTGTTTTGTCCTCATAGGTCAGCAGTAGCCCTTGTTCAGAATGGCCCGAGACTCTCAATAGTGTATGTAAATGTTTACTGCACTACAAGATGTGAGCAACTTCAGACAATGCAGCTTCAACCAAAGGAGAAAGCTGTGGAGAGCTCAGGAACCCGTTAGCACTGCCGCTTCTCCTGCTAACCAGTGCTGTCTCCCCCATGAGCGCAACCAGCATCATGCCACATGCATGTCCAAGCTCATCTCACCGAGGTGGTCTGATAAGATGGTGTGTATTCATGTGTGTGCGTGTGTGTGCGTGCGTGTGTGTGTGTGTGTGTGTGTGTGTGTGTGTGTGTGAGAGAGAGAGAGAGAGAGAGAAATGCTGAAGGTATTCCAGTGCCTTTGTTTGTCAGGTTGAAATTAAAGATTCTGTTTTAGCTATTCAAGTCCATTATCTTAAAAGCTAACCCTTTTCACTTCTGGGAAAAGATTAATATGTGCAATGGCCTTAAAGTAACAATTTATATCCCCATGTCTGCAGTCAGTTTTATGTGTTAGTATGTACTGTTGACTCTTAAGACCCTCATGACGAAAAGTGACAACGTATTTTTTTACAGAGGAACTATACATGCTTATATTTTACTATCTGTTTGGAAATTCTTGGAACTTTTCCGAGGATGTGTCTTGTCCTAGTGTTCTTCTCGGCCATTCTATCTACACTTACGTCGCCCATTGAAAACTGAAGGTCTTCTTGGTTATTCAGCTTGTGTGTCGTCATGCTGAATGACATTAGTCACCGTGTTGTGAGTCCAGGACAAGGTTCCACTCTTATTTATGATGGTGGTTGTTGGTCTGCTCTTCTCACAGAGGGACAGAGGGCAAGGGGTCGGAGTGGTGGTGGGGAGAGAGAGGTGATGGATTCACGTTTCTCAATCGGACATTTTGATGTAAGGACATTAGTACCAAACTGAGGTGCATCGATCTGGCCTGTGGTGCCCGGATCAGCTGGGGGTACCAACGAGGCTGTCTTGGTAGTGGTTATTCTTGCCTCGCAGCTATGGCCATTTCAAAGGTCAGGGCCCTACACTGACTTGGCTCTGAGGAATTAGACGGAACATGCGTCTCTGGGCTGATTACTTAACCAAAGACAAAATAATGAGTCCTAAGCAAATACTGACTAATTGAAAGGGCTGTAAATCCATTACATATTGGTCAGGGATAATCAGGAGTATTTAATCACTTTTATCTATTCAGGAGCACTGAAGCTGCAACGGCAAAGCCCTCAACCTTGCCATGTGCTTATTATTCTCATCATTATCAAAATTACTTCACAGCTGTTCTTTGCTACATCACCTCAGCTGGAGACTAGCTAACCTGTAAAATGTTTTTAATTTGGAAGTCGAGGGAGTGTGAGGGGAGGGCCTCCTTGTTTTCACCCTGAGGTTTGGTGGTTTAAGTAGCTGGAGATGCTAGGAAAGGCGGGGGCCTCCTCAACAGGCAAGCTGCTTCATCCTGACCGGCTCAGCTAGCTGGTTTGCTCCCTCTGGATTCCCTTGCAATGATACCTTTCTTGGTTGAAATTAGACATGCCCATGGTTGCTTTGCAACCAAGCATCTTTGTGTGTGCATTTTTAGCCTCTGCTGTGAAAACCAATGTTCCAGAATGCTCACACCTTGGAGAGTGTGGCTACTTTGAACTCAGACAGAGAAGCAGAATCTAGATGGTGACACTCAGCTACCTGAGTCACCAGCTCCACGTTCTTTCCACCTGTGAAGGTGACTTTGCACAGGTCTTATCTTCAGCAGTTGCATAGAGACCTCACAATGTCTGCCATTGGTATACTCAAAGTCAAGGTGGTAATGGTGGTGATGGGGTTATGGAGAAGCCAAGGGCTGTCTTCCTTACCTGTCTGGAAAGCCACCAGCTTCCCCAGCCTTTATGACTAGGGAAGGGTCCCTGCTCAACCTCTGGACAAACCTCATGGCGAATCATGAGGAGCTCTCCTTGGATATCCTGCTTTGACCTGTCATGGATTCATCTCCCACCGTCCACTGCAGCCACCTGCCTATGATTCCTTGGCACTTGTCCATCAACTGTATTACAAACTCACCGTCCTTGCCTCATGAGAATGTTTACCTAGTTAAATACAGACAAGACTTTGTGCAGAATTCTCTGAACCACTAACAATTTCACTGAATACTTAGAACAAAAGACTCATGTAACCTGAGTCTGGGAATGAGAAGCACTTCATTCCAAGCTCCCTTCTCTTCTGGACTGTCTGATGGCCAGTGTAGCCCATTAAGTTCCCTGTATTTTTCTTTGCTCCATTTTTCAAATGAGAGGACAATGTCACAGCATCCATAGGTCTGTTGTCTGTACCTCTCCATTTGCGCTCTGCCCAAGGCCTTTAGGCAGAGCAATGTCCCCAGCCCACAGTCACCCTGCCATTTCCTTCCTCTTTTCACTTGTCACCAAGGGCTTTCTTTTTCTCCTCTCCATGACCTTCTTTCACAAATTGCCCTTTTTCATGGCTTCCTCCCACTGGCTTTGTCTCCCATCTCTCTCTCTCTCTGTTCCCCTCCAGGCCCTTTCTGCACCCCCCTTGGATCTCAGAGAAATTCTCGCTGGCTTTCATTTTGAAAATGTTTTCTCTCTCCGTTTTCTCTCTCCATCCACACTTCACCCCCACTGCAGAGAAGAGGCCCAGTAACTTTGATGAGGATGGTCTTGTAAAACTTTTACTTTCCAATCTTTAATGAGCTGAAAGATTTACTCAGCTGTAATTCTGAGCTCAGAAAACAAGAATAGAGAGAGCCCCCTAACTAGCGACATGTTAATTTAGACCTCTTTTCTTACATGCACTAACAGGCATGAGGGAGTCCTTGGAAATAGGGATGCCCTGGTATATTTCTCTGTCATTTAATGAATTTTAGCATTCAAAGTGAGATGTCGGCGGGAACTCACTGAAAATAGATGTGGCCTAAATTATTATTTCATGTAAATTTCTTTACATGTGTGGGATTCAATGCACATTCTTCCTTTATCAGTCTCTTTAACATTATTTCAAACTGGCCTGTCCCCTTTTGTGTGGTGTGACCTGTTCTTGTAGTACAATAATCCCTGATGTACCCTTTTTTTCTTTCTTTCTTAAAAAAGAAGCTAATTGAATTATCTCATTATTTTAATTTGTTAAGCAAATGTATTTTGCATCTCAGGATGTGTTCTTATAGAAGGGGGCTGCAAAGGCTTTGCCCCCTGAATGGGCCATTGGCCCATTTTGACATTCATGCATTCATTAACTATCAGAACATAAAAGAACTCTGGGTGTATTTTTTTTTCCAAACACCCAACCAGCATGAAGCAACTTTCCCCAATAAGCCACAGGGGTCTCTCTACATATGTTCTCAACTGCAAGCTATTGTCACCTATTCTGAATACCTCAAAAGGCCGAGAGGAGGGAAAAAACCCAACTCAACAAAGGCCAACTGTAGCAATTGTGAAGTCTTAGTCTCAATATGACAAAAATCATTAACCTTCCATTTTCTAGGAAGAACAAATTCCAGTACAATTGTAACAGTTGAAACAGTCTCTTAGAATCCTATAAACCACAGTTAGGGGAAATGATAATCAATTTGTTGATAATTGATTCCTTTGGAGAAAATATTCAAACGAGAACCAACGTGGAATTTTCAAAATTGAGCTGTTTGATGAAACTGTTTCCATGCTCAGAACCAAGCTCTTTGAATTTGTTTAATATGATGTTCAAGAATTACTGTCTAATTTCTAGCTACCTGTTTTCATGGTGTCCTTTAAAACAACATCTTCTAGAATGTGCAGTTCTTATACAGAAATAAATCCATTTCTTCTTAGAAATTCAGTTTAGCAAAACTGTTGAACACCTATTATCCTCTTCCAATCATGCATGACCCTGTCAGGCTTATTCAACCTAAGAAATGTATAGAAGGTAGAAGAAAAAAAATCTGTTGGAAATCCACTTGCATTTGCCAGAAAGTAAACAAGGACCAAAACAAATAAACAAGCCAACAGCAGTAGAACTATCTCAGCAAAGTGTATTCTCTTTATTAACACTTGGAGATTATAAAATTATAAAAGCAAGCCTGCCATTACAACTTTTTATTCTATTGCAAAGTTACTTTAAAAAGAAATGGCAAGAAATAATCTCTAGGCTGACAGTTTATATTTTTGGTTGTGAGCCTAGCCTTTAAGGGCTGAGCCATCTCTCCAGCCCTCTAGGCTGACAGTTTATAACCACACAGCAGGCCCTTACTGCTCAAGCCAGCCCGCCATCACCTTCATTTGTCACCTGGGGAGATCTCCCTGAGTTGTACCAACTGTGGGAGAGAAAGAGAAGGTACTCGCACCCAAGGTCTTGGCTTGCTCGTGCCAGTTTCTGACTGAGGGTCTTCGAATTGGAAAATTCAGTAAAGCCCGCACCCACTTAAGAGGTGTGACCCTTCCTTCAGAGAGACCTGTGCCACCTTAGAAGCAAGCGACAGTATATTGTGCAGTCTCCTTGACATGGCAAGTTTTGATGCTCCGTCACTGTCTGTGGCAAATGCTGCATCTCCTCTCTGTGTCTGTGGGTGTGGAGAAGGGGCTGTGGTCTGTGACTTGGTGACTCCTTATCTCCTGCAAGTTCTTTTATGGGACTAGGTAAAAGTCTAGATTTGATGATAAAAATATGCTTTAATGTATATTGACCTACCAAGACAATGAAGCCTCGTTATGGATGGATCTGCTTACAGGTTACATTAG